AGTAGAACTATGCAAAGCTTACATGGGATATTTAGTTTTGACAAATTTGTGAGAAAGATCCTTACAAAGCTGCTTCATAGAGTAATGCTTCCCCTTCTTTTAAAGGCAAATTTTTTTCCAATTCTAGTATCCAAGAAGTCATGTATGTATGTATGTATGTATGTATGTATGTATGTATGTAAGTATGTATGTATTATTCATGCATGCATGTATACATGCATAGAAGCCTTCTTGGATACTAGAACTGGAGTGCTGCATTGCTTTTGATGAGACAGTTCCTCATCAAAATAGGGTGTCTGGGGGGAAAGGTCAAAATTTGCAAAATATCTGGCCCAGCACTGTGACAGCACACAAAAGGATGTGTGTGTGTTTTATTTGACATTGCATCTATCATTTTGCAGATTTAGACAGTTCTTTAATGATACCACTGTCATCAAGGCTAAACTCAGCTTCCTTGCACAAACCTATTGGGTAATAATTATACTTTCTCTATTATAGAGAAAATTATGGACGCTCACCTCTCATGAAAGTAGAAACAAATCACTATTTTCTGAGTGACAAGCGCTCCCTCACAAACTGGCCCAGTTTCTTTAGCTTCTTACTCTGAATAACAACCTGATATTTTTCTTTCTGACTGAACCATATCACCAAGATTAAAAGTTCCCCCAAGAGTAATTTCCCCTCAGAATGAAGAAGGATTATATGGCAGGTGGCTGAAACACTGAGCCAAAACCCAGATAAAATTAGTGCAGATTTATTTTTGCTACCTAGGAACATTGCAACAGACAGTGTGTGAATTAAACTTCAGTTTAAGTGCAAAGTGAGATATCTGATTGTGTTAGCAATTTCTACTGGTTACATTACCCAGCAGACAGAATAACTCCAAGAATATAAATAAAATGAAGAGATAAAACCTGAATTAATTCAACCTACTAATTTTAGCGCAGACCTTACTTCAAGACACTTTGCCCGCTCTACTATGCTAACCTGGGGCAAGTCTCCAACTTTCCACTCTGGAAAGTTTCTAACTTGCCATTTGAAACTCCAACAGAAAGTTCATGTAAAATACTACCTGTACTGGATAAATGGTTCTTGTTTACATTGAGAAACAAATCCTCAATTTCAGGAATGCGTCTACACTTTTGTGTAATGTTGTGAAAGAGACATAATTACTTTCAGAGGTTTCAGGAAAGGCACAGGACGTGCCATTCAAGCTGTTGCAAAGCTGAGTAATATAATCTGATTAATATATCAAGATGTAACCTATCCCATCTCACTGTAGTTACAATTTTAAAATGTGTAATGAAGGGATTTGGGCCCATGACATGTGTTAGATTGTGGATAATACAAGAAGGGGGAGTGGAGTTGGGATGAATCACAATTGGATGTGTTTACATGACATTTTAAAGAATTATGATTTACAAATGATAAATTTAATTAAATTAAATAAACCTTATTATTGTTCAATATGACTTATGGGCCCAACACCTGGCTATTTTTGGGGCAACAGCATGCTGTAGTTAACCTTCCTTTGTCTTCAGATAAGTAATTTTCTCCAAATGCTTTGGGGTTGCTGGTTGAGAATTCTGGAAATTGCAATCTCAATTACTTTTCTTTTTCCTAAAGAAAATGTTCTTTTCTTTTGATGGACAATGGTAAGTTGATATAATCAGCAACTATGACAAGGAAGTACAATTTAGCCTGGTGTGTTGTGAGTGTAGTTAATTTAGAGCAGGGTTTCTCAACCTCAGCAACTTTAAGATGTGTTTACTCCCAGAACACTAGCTGGGAAATTCTGGGAGCTGAAGTCTCCTTCATCATAAAATTGCTCAAGTTGAAAAACACTGGTTTAAAGACTAGCCGTCTTATAGGAACACTGAAAATTGGTGTAATTAAGAAAAACCCACATTAACAATTGGTTGCTTGCCATGCTGTGCAATCACAATAATTATCAGGAGTTATTCTGCTACCACCCAACTTCAGAATGATGCCTCATCTGGCATTCTTCTCTAACCCCAGTATAGGAGAGAGAGGAGGGTCCAACATTCTGTGTTCTGTGAATAATCCAAACATATAGTATATAGATTAATATAGGGGGAATTCTTAAGGGAGAAAAAGAAGGGGGAGGGGGAAATAGAAAAAGAAAACTATTAGTTTAAGACTAAGGGAAATAAGTACAATTGTATTAATTGAAGGACAATACGAAACAAATGCTTCAAAAGATTAATGTATTTGTGTGTTGTATGTTGTTTAAATATTTTTATATGTTTTTATATGTGTTTTAATAAAGTTTATAAATTAAAAAAAACATTCTGTGTTGCTTTTCTAGCAAATTAAAAAGGGGAAATAAAAAGAAATGAAATAAATATTATAGTGCCACCTTCGTGCCCTGTTATGTTGAAGTATAGAGCTATGGAAATAAGGCTACTTTTTCCTTCCTTCTGGGAAATGGACTGATATCACAAAAGTTGAATAAAAACAAATTTGGGGTGAGGCAAAAGTTAAGTAGGAGCTCCAAGGCAGTCACCAGAATCTAGACACTTTTTGCAAATATAATCTGTGACTGTGTTTGATTACATGCCCGTATAATCATTTTTGACTCATACCTTACTGCCATGGCATGTAGATTTAAGACCAAAACATTTCCCGTAGAATATAAGTGGGTAATGTCACACAGTTCTCAATCTCTAAATGTATCAACAATACGTTTCTTCTAGTCTTACCCTCCATATTATGTTATGGCAGCATGTGGGGCAGCTGATTTCAGTGTTTCCTCCAATTAGTGCTATGACCTCCACAGCATCTGCAAAGCATCAGATTATGTGATTCTGATGGTTTGGAAGACGGTGGAGTGTTGGTAGAAGGAGGTGTAGGTGGAATGGCTTTTCACAGTTCACCTGCTGCACCTCTGCCTTTGAGCTGCCAGCATCACTGCTTGTGTATATGCCTGAATGTGGGCTTGGGCCATGTGACTACGTAGACTCATGGTGGTCCTTATGGCAGGATGGAGAGCTATTTTTCTCTCAGACTTTGGGGATTCATTTAGTTAGGTGCACGATCATTTGTGATTTTCCTATGCAACACTGTACTTGGCCCTTCTCCTGCCCTTAGGCTTCCAGTGGAGGATCAAGTGAAATGAGACATCACCATACCACAGTACCCAAAGTAGTCCCAAATTCCCTACTAAGAATATACATGCTGCATATGAGTATTATTATTTGCACTTGATGATTCTGTAGACAGGAACTGCTTCTATGGTGATAGGTGTAAGAGTGCTAATTCTGACTCTCTGCCCTGTTCCTTGACTTGGCTCTTATCCAATCTGTGCTGGAATGTCCTTGCTTTAGAGTGAAAGCAATGAACTTCTCTCTCTCCCAGCCTCTTGCCCAGAAGCCAAACAGAGAACATAAATGAAGCAAAGTAAAGGAGGCCTGCTAAAATATGAAATGTGTGGAACTGCGTTGCCTATGGAAAAAAGGGAAAGTGGGAACTAGTGCAGGCAGTGCATTAGATGGAGCTTCTCCCATGATCCCACATAAGCTGGGAGAAACATTTTGATGTCTTTGCATTTGATCTAGTTGTGTTTCATGGTCTGGGGGATATGTTTGCCCCGAGTTTCCAGGTCACTTCTGGTAGAGGGCAGTCAACCTGGCATCAGAGCCCTGCACCAAAGCTATGTTTTCTGTGGCCAGGAGAAAGTTCAGCAAAGTTTGTATTTCTCGTCTCCTTCCAAAAATGCTGACTGTTCTGTAGCAGGAGAGCCAAGTGGTTCTGAAATCTACAAGAAAGTCCCTGGCCACTTGTACCATGCATGCTCTCAATGTGGGTAGGAGGGGTGAAAGGGAAAGGTATCCATCAATCAAGACTTGCTCTAACTGTAGCCCAAACCAAATGTCCAGCCAGCATTATTGCCATACTGGGAGAGCCAACAGAAATACACTTCCGTCTCCTGGCTTAATCTCAAACTGGATGAAGCAGACAAGACACTGCTGAATTGCCTTACAACACCAACAATCTTCTCCCTAGGCTACAAGAGCCAGCAGAATATTAAAGAACAACCCAAAGAGATCTTTATTTCCATTTATTGATATTGATAATCCAGATCGTTGCATAAGAGATATTGTAGCCTAAATTGGTTAAATTCAAATTCAAGCATTTGGAGGGCAACAAGTTACCTATCCCTGGTTTAAGAAAATCAGACCAAAGCAAGCAATAGCTAAACCAGTGTTTCTCAACCTGTGACTTTTTTTAAAAAAAGTTTTTTAAAATTATTTTTAAACATAAAAACACCATCATTCAATACAATCACAGAAAGTGTGTCGATCGGTTAAGATTCTTTTGTGCATAATCCCATATCCAAAATTACAATTTATTTAATTTCTCTTATTTGAAAACTTTAAATATCCCTTTATATTATTATTCTCATTTAACAATTATTGAACAAAGGCTTAACTCCCATAAGAAAACATTTCATATATTTTATCATTACCTTAATTTCCATATTTCATACTTCATCTCCATGCTTTATTATCTAGCAACCTCAGTGACTTTTAAGATGTGTCTGGGACTTCAATTCCCAGAATGCCCCAGGCAGCAAATCCATACATTTTAAAAGTTGCTGAGATTGAGAAACGCTGGGCTAAACCATAAAGGCCATCCCCAAAATCAACCTGCTCCACATGAACAACCCAGGAAGCAGGTCATTTCGTCAGTTCTCCCGAAATTGCCAAACGTTTCTCGAAGGGCATGTGCTCTTCCCCAACGAGTCAATCGCCTAGCGCGTGTGCACAGTATGGCCTGTGTTTGTTGTTGTTACCCTTGTCATCATACAATCAATCAGTCCGGCAGGGCGGGAGAGGAGGAAAAAGGGAGCAAACTTTACCCTATTGAGCAAAGGAAAACTTCCAGAGACCGGGAGGCTTCGCTCACCCCACCCCTTCCAGACGCCTGATCAAGTTTCAATGCCCCTCGCTTTTCTATATAAAGCCAGCTCTGGAGACAGGCGTGGGAAGTTAAGGGTGCGCTTGTAACGGTTCTTTGGTAAACTCGCTGCGTTCCTGCTACCGATACGTTTCTGCGACCCAGCTTTATTGTTCTCCCGGGGTTTGGAGGGATCTGATTGCCCGAAAAAAAGGTGAAAAGGTGTTCCAGGACACCGCGGTGCGGGACGATAACAGGTAAGCAGAGCTCTGCTTATGGTTTTCTCCCATTCCTGTTTGTTTTTCTTGGGAGGCTAGGAATGCAAATCCACACTTTCAATTAGGACAAATTCTTTCCTGAAGTTTTCTTTCGAGGTGACTTCAGCAAGCGATTTTATACGATCCTTTTTTTTTTGTTTTTAATTTAAAAGCAATGGGGATGCTAGAAAGTTCTTTTGCAGAGATTTCACGGAGGCTGAACGAGAGTTGCGTGTTGGGACTAGTTAATCCGAAACGGGGCTCCTTAGAAGAGAACGCTATAAAAGCAGTTTGGCCTTTAGTTTCTTAAAGCTTTTGAGGAATTTTGAGCACATATCCTGAATATATGAGTGGGAATAAGACTTGAATCCTACACAGAATGGTCTCTCGGCGAAGATATCACGGCTTGTTCAAAGAGGTAATCTGTTAGCAGCACACGGAGCATACTTTGTATTCTGGAAGTAGAGTCTCAGCCTGCATTTCTGAGCATCTTCAGATCCTGGTAAAAGAGATGAAAGCTAGTGGACTCTTTCAGTCAAACAGACAGAAGAACTAACTGAGACAGACAAATTCTCTAAACCAGGGCTTCTCAACTTCAGCAACTTTAAGATGCCTGGACTTTTATTTCCCCAAATTTCGCAGCCAGGTTGAGGAACATTGCTGTAAATTGTCCCAAAGGTGCTTTTTTCAAGAGGCAATTGGTCTTTCATGTAAATCCTCCCATTCCCCACCATCCAGTGAGAGCTGAAGAAGCTTCTTGGATAAGAAGCAAAATATCTTCTAAGAAAAACATGAAAGTCCAGTTGCCTCTTGAAGAAAAGAAGAAAAAGCACCTTTGGGACAACCATGACCTGGATGACTGAGAATCTCCATAGACACTGCTGTAAACTATTCATCATGTCTTTTGTGAGACTCCAAAGAATTCTTCCAATTGCAAGTATCTTTATTTGCTGCCAAGACAAATTGAGGAGGACAGCTAGCAGGTTTAGTGTTAAGGGATTGTGGGAATTGTATTCAAAAATAGCAGGAAGGGATCCAGTTGCTGTCCCCATCTTACATTTTTATAGAAGTAGAAAAAAATAAATGATTTATTTTTATGTAACAAGAATAAATCTCAAGGCTTTGGGCATGAAAAAGCCAAGGTATAAATCAAATAAATTCACATATATGGTATGTTAAATATATTCCCGCTACAAAACCCAGCCTTATAGAGGTACAGTCAGTATTGTTATGCAAATAGATACTATGATTTCCTATCCATAGGTTTTGGAAAAGTAATATGGAATTTTCCCATTTTCTTTCAATTTGCAGGGTGCCCTGGCAGTTTGTTACTCTGCAACAACATAACAATGGCAACTGTGCCTTCAGCTGGCTGCCTTTTAGCCAAGAACCAGTACTACAGAAGTGAGTGTTGTCCCCTGAAATCATGGATGATTTTTGTGTTCTCAATATTTGCATGATCTTAAAACTTAAAACTTTCCTTCTGTATAAAAGAGAGTGCCCTGTATAATCTTTATATTGCCATAGAGTTTGATATTTAACCTTCCTAGCTAACGTAGCAACAACCAGGTGTTTCTTCAGTCTCTTCCTTTATTCAACTTGTGAATAATTTAATTTTCTACTTATTGCAATCCATCTCGTGTGTTTGATGTACAATCTTTGGATGTGATCCAGTCTTATCACAGACTATGATAAATGTGTGCACTTGAACCTAATGAAAGTCAGTGACTCAGAGCACTATTAATTGTTAAGATACTAATGTTATATTTTCATGAATAAAAATAAACCAGCAGCTCCCTGTTGGCCATGAAGGCCAACAGGCAAAGATCAGAATGGAATATGAACAGTTATAGTGCTAACTTCAGCTAGTGAGTGTGTTATTGACAAACAGTGTGTCAATCCTGAAGTTGATTAGGTCACCTGACCTTTATTTATTGAGTTATGGAAAACTGGAAACAACAGCTAATAGGTTTGCATTACATTTATTTAAGAAAAGTGAAAGAACTATTCTCCTTTCATCCTTAGTTGACAATTATATGATCTACCCTTCCATACATAAAATGGCTATCCTCTTTTCAGAAGGGATTATAATCTGATTGGTAAAATACCCATAGTATACATGTTATCTGATCATCTGTATGATCAAAGGTATTTTAGGTTTTGAACAGGAATATATAAAATGTTGTGCTTAAGGAAAACTAAATACTAGTTTACTTTTTAATAATAAATACAAAATGCTCTCCGCTTTTTTTTTCCACATCTAGCACGACTGAATTCTGATTGCAGTGTTTCTTCAAGCAGTTCATCTTGCTGTTCTGATCCCACATCATTCTCAGACCAGGAAAAAAATCACCATGGTATTCATCTCTTTATTAAAGTTTCTAACTGTTGTCCAGAAAAAGCATTAAAAAAATATTCCACTATCTTCTATTGTACATTTAATCTCTATATTTTTCAGTGAAATTTAAGCTTAATCTTTCTCCAATATTGCTGCTTCATTAAAAGTAATAGTTTTCTTTTTGCTTTGAAGCTTTATTATACAATGGATATTTTGCATCTTCCATTTATAGGCCTACCTGAAATGTTTGAAAAGTGCTGGTGGATAAAAAGCTTTTTTCACAGTGAGCCAACACCTCCAAATGTAGGCAGAAAAACCTTATCAGCCAGCAGGTAAGAACTGTTTCTCTCCTGGAGTACACAATTTATTTGAATTAATGTTCTTTAGAATTTAGTCTGAAGCTAATGTGCTACTTGAAGTTCATTCTGATGCTAATTATAACTGTAGTTTGTATAGAAGTGCTCAACCCAGAATAGAGCTTAAAATAGAACTTAAATCTGCTTATTCTGGACAAAGGTAGACTTTGTGATTATTCCTTTTGCCATGTCTCTTAAACAGCTGCATTAGTTTCTTCCGAAAGCTTGGCAGTAATTCTTTATACTAATCATGGTCATAAATCATAATTTCTGTCTTGACAGTACTAACAGCTGATTGGGATATCAAGTTGAAAGTTCCTGCTGGGACATTATAGACAGTCATGTCTTGAAATGAATTCACTTCTGTGAAGAAAATGAACTGCTTGAGAAGAAATACAGATGATCAAGGATTTAATCAGAGCTTATTCATCAAGCAACCATCTGTACAGTGTCTGTTGCAAGAATTCTTGATAATGAACAGGTGTTCCACATTTCATAATTTTTGTGCTTCACCAGAGGAAATGCAAATGCAACATCTAGTGGGATATGGTATATCTGATTACTTGGGATATATTTTACTAAATTGAAATGCTGTAGATTGCTTGGGTCAAAATCTTTTAAGGTTACCATGCCTTTTATACAATGGTGCCTTTTTACGTAGCAAAACAGACCACCTCTTTCCACAGAATTTAAGTTTGGAATGTTAACTATGATAAACTTCTACTTTATGAATAATTTACTTAAATGTCAAATACACATTTCTCTTACTTGTCAACAGCTAGAAGAAAACTGGTTAAGGCATTATTTATGGTCCTCCATTAAAAAACTAAAATGGAACATACTCAGTATTAAACTCCTTATCTGATTCTAATTCTACTATTTGCATTGGAGCTTTCTTTCATAGTTGTGTTACTATTGTATATTACTGCTTTGACATCAAATAGTGTACAATTTATATCAACTCTTCAAATTAGAGACAATTTAAGAACTCTGAATTGATTTTTTTTATTTTTGATGTATACCATTCTGTTTCAAAGCATAGGAAAAAAAATAGACCCATATTTTGCTTTGTAGGAGTTGTAAGGTTTTTAATTTTTTTTTTTTTTAAAAAAAAATTTGATTTATATGCCGCCCTTCTCCGGAGATTCAGGGCGGCTTACAATGCATTAAGCAATAGCCTTCATACTTTTATATATTTATACAAAGTCAGCTTATTGCCCCCACAAACTGAGTCCTCAATTTACCTACCTTAGAAAGGATGGAAGGCTGAGTCAACCTTGAGCCTGGTGAGATTCGAACTTACAGTAATTGCAGACAGCTGGTGTTAATCACAATGCTATCAGTCTGTTGAGCCACCAGGCCCTTAAGTTTTATTTACTTACACTAAGAAATATATATTTGTATCACATGAGAAAATCTGTGAATGCTGAATATTCTAAATTGAATTATTATTTAATTATTTAATATATTGATAATGTTTCTAATGTTCCTTTGTCATCCTTTTATCCTTCTGATTAATTATACACAATGTTCTGTAGTATGAATGAATAGTAACATCAAGTTTTAACAATTTGCTTTGTCAAATTATTACTTACATGGATGCATTATTGCTGACTGCATACTTGGATGCATAATGTTTTAAAACACACACACACATACACACTATATCCCTCTAGTGGAAAAAGATTAATATAGCAAATAAAATATAAACACGCAGTAAGTCTGTGTTTAAAATCTGCTTCCATTTGGGTAGTAACTTTTTGCTGTCTGTTCAACTTTGTATATAGAGGCCTATTTATAATATTGGCTAAGCGATGTTTTAATGTATATAACTTGTTTTTTTATGAAATTTTGTATTAATAAAAATTGATAAAAATGCCTTCCAATTATTTCTTTTGAACAAGATTTGCATTAAATATCTCTCAAACGCTGTGGCAATGAAGTGAAGCTGTAGGCAATTTTATCTACATAAATTTAGTAAATGCTTTTTCTTTGCCCTGATAGATGTTGAACACTTCGTGTTCAATGCCAGGTGAAAATTTTCCTGAGAAATAATAGATTGTTGACAATATGTATTTAATAGGCACGGCACCCTTGCCAGCTTTAAGCATTAGTTTGCAATTAGTTGTTGCTGTTCTGTAAAACCAGACTACAGTTCTCCTGATTTGTAATCAAAGCCTCAGTTTAGGAAAAGTCACCTTGCAGGCTAGAAGGAAAAAAAACCCCAAGAACTATGTTTCATTTTGATTTGACTTATCCATTGGAACATTTCAGATCTTTTTATAGGTTGGTCAGCATTATAGTTGACAAATTAGAATGACAGTACAAACATAAATGATAAAAAGTTATGCTGTTTTTTAAGTCATTGCTTAACGCATTGTAAGCCGCCCTGAGTTTCCGGAGAAGGGCGGCATATAAATTAAAAGGGAAAAAAAAAAGTCATACAACCTAAAATATGCATCCTTAATTTTATGTCTTTGGGTGGTGTCACTTGAAGTAAATATAAGTTATAGAAATATACACTCATTGAATAAATAATGAATGATAAAATCAATTCACATTACTTTTTTCCACATGAATTATTGTATGCACTGAGAATTTGTCTATCAGGGAATATCAATTGGGATGTAAAAAGCAGGCCCTAATTAAATACACTTATAAACCTATATCAAAATCATTTTTTAAAATGTGAAACTTAACAAGCAGATTAAAAAAAAAGTGTACAATCCTAGCAAGGTAAAGTAGCTTTGGATCTTTAAGTCAACTGACCAGGAGAATACCAAATCTAACTCTTAAATAGATTACAGGTAGACTTTATTTTGCAATTGTCTTGTTCAGCAATCACAGTTATGACTGATGAAAAAGTAATTTTACTACAAATTGTTCACAAGTCTGTAAAGCAAAGATTACAAGCACAGTTCAGTTTTGCCTACAGTCTGAGATGCTTGGGCTCATTAAACGAGGACTCCCCGTCTGCTCATACAGTCCTGTTTTCTCTATGAACAGTAGATGGAAACCATGGCCAATAGAACCTTCACTCGGTTGTCTCTGGTGTGTCAATTGTGATCATACCTAGAGTAGAAAATTTTGAAAAGAATCATTCTGCCTTTGTTGCCTCATTACTGTCATGCAACCTAAATGGGAATGCTCTTGAATACCATCAAGAAACTATTAATGCAAAAGTGGACATTCAATTAAATTAACACGTATATAAAGTTTTATTTATTTTATTTATTGTGAATTTAACTGGGACAACCCAGTTATTAAATAAGTTTAATATTGTAGGAGATGCATTGGCTATTTATTTCCAGGCACAATTCAAAGAATTTTGTCATCACCTTTAATGCTACACATGACTATCTGACTATCTCTGATATCATCTGCTACAGGTAGAATCTGTCCATCCAAGACATATCTTTGGAAGAGAGTATTTAGTAAGAGTCCCTGCTCTGTCTGAGATATAAAGTTAGATCTGAAGGCCAGTTTTTTCTTCAAGTGCTTCTATCTTATTGTATGCCTTCATATCAGAAATAAAAACAGTTCCATCCATGTATTCTAGAATAATTTTTTAAATGTGCTTTTGGGCACTGAGGTAAGAATGAAAAATGTACCTGAACTAAGATGAATCTGGCTGCCTGATATTATGCTATTTGTTTACTTGTTTCAATCAATTTATATGGTTGCATATTTTTTAATAGTAATTCTGAGTAGATACACAGAATGAAAACTCACTAAAAATAATCAATAATAACATTAATAAACATATAGTGTCAGAAAAGACCAACAATCACTACAAATAAATATTCATCTCACCGATCCCATTAACTTGCCAATTGCCACACCGGAGAGAACACAGGCACAGGCATGTTTTTTAAGGATCTATGAAATATTATCTGAATTTCAGGGCAAATGGTGATCCAGAGGACAAGGTTTGCTTCCTATGTCTCACCAGATAATATTCCCTGATAGAAACAGTCCAGACCCAATCCTGCTGTTTGGCCCAAGTAGAAACAATCAGAGAGAGAGAGAGACTGTTTCATGATGTAAGGATGACTGATGATGATGGCGATGACAATGCTATTAGTATTTATTGTAATTATTGCTGATGAATTCTGATTTACTCAATGTATTCTATATTATGTTGCAAGTTCTTTGAGTCCTATGACTGAAGCAACATAGAGGAATTTGCAATAAATTGAATAAACACTATTTTTAATACATATGTAAGTCAATTTAATTGAATTTTCAATTTAAACAACTGGATTAACTGACAATGTATCTCAAGTAACTTCTCAAATAATTAGGCAGCATGCTTCCAAAAGTCAGAAAATATGACGTTAAATCATTGTTTTCTTGTACATATGGAGTTACATTGCATACTAATGTGCTACTAATCTATCTAATAATGGATTGTTTGCTACAGTTAAAACAATATTGGAGATTATTTTTATTGAAGTGCATCATGTAGTACAAAGCATAAAGAACTAATATTACATGTATTTAAAAATCATATTTTAATTGTATTTAAGAAGCTTAAGAGCCAATTATTTGGCTGTGCTATTCGTGACTTCTGTTTCTTTTTACAATATGGTTTTACTGAAGAAAAAACCTATAATTTTAACAATAATTAACACTGAATTATTGTATTCAACGAAGGAATTGATCTCTAGCTCATAAATCTTGTGCTACAATAAATGTGTTGGTGCTGCAGTTAGAATGGTTTTGTATCACCAATGACTTCTAGGAACTCAGGCAAAAAAGAAAATCTGAAAACACAGCAGCACTGACAGAAAAAGCAGCCCCAGTTTGCACTCTTCCTCTCTTCAGCAAAGTGATATGAACCATACATAATATTTCAACTTTATTTTAATGGCATTGACAAGGTCAGTCACTTTCCATTTGGGGAAATGAATAAAGTGACTCATATTCAGCATCAAAGACTGTATAAAGGTTTGTAGGCTAGACTGGGTGTGTGGGTGGGAGACAATGACAAACAATTGCCATATTGTTACTAAACATTTTTTGAAAAGAGGTGTCCATGTGGTCTCCAGGAGAAGAGCTCAGCTTGAGGATGCCTTTATCTTTCTCAGAAAGTCACAGTTGCATTGTACAGTGATGTAATGTTGTCTGTCTTTCTATACCACAGGAAACAGAAAGCTGTACTATTGAATAGAGCAGGTTATAGAATTGCTTCTAAGTGCCACAGGGACAAAGAAAAGAAAAAAATTACCAAGCATAGCAGTTTGTGTGTTTCTTGCAATTCTGTTGTTACTAATATCATTTAATACTGGACATATATAAGATTTTAGCTTTAGATTTCTACAATTAAGCTGTGGCTGCTTGATAATGTCTTTGAGCAGTTTTATGATGCTTTTAAGAGGATCAATATTTGTTATTCTGCTTCTTCTCTGTAGGATTTATCATTGTGGACATAGCTTGGGTAAACTATTTCTTATGTCTCTCACACAGTGTTTTTTAGCGGAGGTATTAAGTATAGCTTTATGAAATAGAAGTATGCGTAAAACAAGCAATCGTATCATCTCAGATTGTAATTATTATTTTTTTAATTATTTTTGAACTCCTAGATGAATAAACCATGTGCCCTTACATTTTGTACTTTAAATGAGGTCCAACTTATGAAACTAAATAATGGTTGAGCTGCAATTTTTTTTCTCCTAAGCATCTATACATAATATTGACAATAGTGCTTACTCAGTATAATTCACTGTGGAATGAGATGCCTACAGCAATTTCACTTCAATTTTTGTTTTAAAATAAGTGTGTTGTACAGCATTCTTTCTCAGCACCAGAACAAATATAGATTAGAAAAACATGTAAAGGCTCTGGGTATCAAAAAATTGTTTGCTGTTGTTTTGCAGGTCTAATCCACTTGAGTACATTTCATTCGTTTTAATGCACATTTAAATCAGGCTGATAAATGTAGTTCCCATTTGTTTGTTTAGTACAGGGGTCCCTATGCTGGCTGAAGAATTCTAGCAGTTGAAGTCCACGAGTCTTAAAGCTGCCAAGTTTGAAGACGTCTGGTTTAGTAGTTCAAAACCTAAACAGGAAGTTTTTGGTAAGCATGGAACAATTCCATGTTGAGTTTCATATAAAATGCAACATGCTAATTGTTAAGTGTTTATATCAAGCATGTCAACCTTTAACTCTCCAGATGTTGTTTACATTCTGGCTGAAGTAACATCTGGAGGTCAAAAGTTCCTTTTACTTATTTTATGTCATGCAACTGAAATTTGCTACACAGCATGACTTCCATATTCTGCTTTCATAATATTCATACCTAACAGCATAGAATCCAATAAAGTTGCAATTCTATCCTGTAGGCTGATATATGAATGTGGGAATAGTTGGATAGAACTTTTCCAAACTGTATTTAGGAGGAAAGCAGGGCTGACACTTAATTGTTTTATTCAAATATATGCATATATGCACCTTATAGAAAAGATGACACATCACTGTATGCATTTTGGCAAAATGCCTGCAGATTAAGTACTGCTTTCATTTCTCTTGACTCTGCTCTATACAACATCAAGAGTTTCTTCAAATATGGCTGGTAAATTTTCCATTACATTCAGAAACTATTAAACTGATCCAATCTGACTGTGAAAATGGTGTATTTCTGCTTATCTGGTTCGTGTTTTAACCATGCTTGGCTTGAGAAACAGTGTTGTCCTGGCCCAGACTTGAATCACTTCTGAACGGAGATTTTCTCTGTTAATTTTAAAGAATTCAGATAACAAATTCCCTCCCAAAATTTGAAAGGGTTTCCTTTCAAAAAAGCTTACTGAAAAGTTATTTAGAAACATGAAACAGGTTTTCTTCATTTTAATTCCTATGCTACAAGTCTAAAACGATTAAAAATAAAATGCGGAGAAAAGCGATCCAAAAGGAAAAACCCTGTAACAAATTGGGGAATAGTTTCTCTAAATGCTTTCCTCATATTATCCTATTTATTCCGCTTTACAGAAAATCTGTTCGAAGAAAAAAAAAAAGATGTTCTCAATTCTTTTTAAGCTAGTACTGATCTCAATCCTGCCTGTCCTGAGGAAACACTTTATTCCTCACAAAAAAGACATTATTTTTTTGATGGCCTTAAAGAAGATTTTTACAAATTGGATGAAAAGATAAGAGTGTTTTTTCTTCATAGAAGATGGCCAATAAGAGAGCTTATTTAAATGACAGAAATAACTGTTCTATGTTTATTTAGCATCTAATTATTTCCAGAAACCTCTGCAAGAAAGAGGAGAAACTTTGTCTCCGTCACAAATATAAGTGAGCAAATACATCACTTTTTTTAATTAAAAGAAAATATGTCTTTATATTTCTTCAGTCTCTTCCTTCAAAGTAAGATGATTCTTCTTCCCATCTTATGCACAGATTCTTTTAAAAAGAAACGTTCCCACTCAGTTTCTCACTCCCCTTTTATTCAATCCAACTTTAATAAACAATTTGGTACAGGGTTAACTTTTAACATGCCTGTTTTGTTTTTCATCAAACCCTAAAGTTATAAGCCCTCCCTTTTTCTCCAAGCAACTAAATTAGAAAGTATCTTATGCTATAAGTAAAGCGGCATAGAGTTATCAAAATCTAGACACTTATTAGCATAACAATAAGACCCTGATGCAGTTGGGTCTCTTGGGTATAGTAAGCATCTCAGGGGAGAAAGAAACTCAAAGGCACGTCAGCATAGACATAATTCCCAATTCAGTGTGGAATTAATTTCACTTTCCCTTTTGTCAACTTTTACTTGAAACAACAAGGTTATTAATAATCACTATCTGGAATCAGTGGACTTCATAACAATTCCCATTTAGTACAGAAGTGTAACAATAGCATATGTGATCCATCCTTCCTTCCTTCCTTCCTTCCTTCCTTCCTTCCTTCCTTCCTTCCTTCCTTCCTTCCCTCCCTCCCTCCCTCCCTCCCTACCTCTTGCTGTTATGCGTTTCACTGCATCATTTCACCTAGGTTGCAGTTCATTCTTTCTGTCTTCTGCTCCCATTTAACAGGATTAGCCTTTCTTGACAGTTACTGCCTTTTGATGAATAGCTTTTATTTGTGTTTTTTTAATCTTAAATTTCATTTCTATACGAACAACACACTGTTCCTTTTGGGATGAGCAACAACATACAAACTGCAGAAAAATAAATGTTATACTGAAATGTTTTTCTGATTATTATGAAGTACTTCCTGTTTGTTGTCATCTGTTAAGAAAACGTATATATCACTATTTGGATAAATAGTCAAAAATGTTTGCTTACTTCTAATCATACTTGAGCACTCACATACCTGCCAATAGTTATCACTGAGCATATAAGTGTGCCTTATATTTGGATTGTGAAGCTACTTCCAGATTATAACAGTTCATTTTCATGGAGGTCTTCAGGGCTGTCTGCAAGATGTGGTCAAAAAAGTAAAAAAAAAAGGGGGATCAGTTGTGAATATAAAAAACAGCTCTAATAAAATCCATAATTCTCGTTTTATAGACAATAAAATTTCTTAGTATTAAAACAGAGGCAACTGGATATTGGAGATGAGATAAAAGCATATCTGTATGCTTGAAATGTAGACTGAAGTTTAAATTTATTTACTGTCAATATCCGCATGATTTTATGATATTCTAGGAACTCATAAAAAATACTAAGCATCTTCATTAGATAAATGGGTATAATCAGGTAAGCAGCAAATTAACATGTATTTTCAAAGTTAAATACTGTTTAATCCAGCTATATTTGAGCTACAATTACTAATCAGTATGTTAATCAACCTTCTTATTTGAGGAACTTTTATACTGATTAAATAACTTGTTTATAATTTTGAAAATCTAGGAAGAATATCTCTCACCATTGGCAGGCCTCTTCTTTTCATTTATGTTTTCAGATCTTTTTCATGACTACTCTTCAACATTCCTACCTTATCTATAACTTTTAATGATTTCTTGGGCTTTCTTAAAGGACCTCTCTTTCCTTTTCTTGTTATATTCTTCTCTTTATTGATATGCTTGTTGATATGCTTTCCTCATCCTTTCAGATTTGATGTTGGAATCTGGATTCATATGTCATGCAGTCTTCTTATTGCCCTGGTGCTCACCTTTCAACTTTCCCTGAATATGATCATTCTGAAACCAACTTGAGTTTTTTTTTCTCTTTGAACTTTTAGGAATATATGTATATATATTAGTACAGTTTTATAATAACTCTTATTTGTTCCTGAGAACCAACATTCATTTTTGATGAAGTCAGGCATATTAAAACTCTTTCTGATATGGATCTTTTATTTTTACCACATATTTTTCAAGTTATAGTCTGTTGATTCATGTCATTTTTTTTTTTTTTTTAGTTTTCAGGTTTAACTCGTGTATTTTATAATTTATGGTCTCATCCACCAATAATGGATGGTCCAACTGTAGCTGGAAGGATTGTGTTTGATTAAATTTCAATCTCCATATTATATTTCCTTCTATGTATTTAAACTCTTCTTCATCTGGTGATATCCATGTACAGAGGTTTGTGTTGTTTTAAGCAGGTGTTAAAAGAAACCCAATTATCTTCATAAAACTCTATTATTGTATTAATTATATGTTATCATATTTACCCATGAAAAATCTTGTGTGATTTCCAGTTTCTTGAAAGTTTTGCATTATAATAGGCTATTAAAAACACTGTGTCCTTTGTTGATGTTTCATTCAGCAATTTTTATAATTTGTCATAAAATTTTCTATTACATCTCTGATGTGTTATAGAAGACTGATATTCTTTTTGAATATTATTGCCACTCCATTCCTTTACATGGCTTCATGCCCAGTATAAGACATAATTTAATGATCTGAGTAAAAATAGCCTGTTCTGGTCCATTTAAATTCACTTAATCCTAAAACATCCAATTCGGTACCCTTCATTTTTGCTTTGACACTTTCAAGTTGTTCTTGGTTCGTGCTTTTCACATTCTGAATTCTGATTACCTATGTCCTTGTAAGAAAATTCTCATTCTATATCAGGACTGACAGTGACCAGATTTTGTTGCAGTTTGATCAAGCGTGTCATCACCTCCAGATCGCAAAAAATAAAATAAAATTAATAATAATCCTAAAAGAATGCTTTCTGATTTCAGCATAGCATCCTGCGGCACCTAAACCTGACTAAATGCTACAACTTTCTCTATATAGTTTTCATGGCATCAAGATCAAAGAGGTTTGTCTTTCATCTTTTGGATTTGATAATGGAGCTCCTTCTTCTAATTCTTCTGATTTCCATCACACATATGTAAATTGCTTTTCACTTTTCACTTTTCCTATCCCAGAAGCTCTCATTCTCATTAGCATTATTCTAAGATGGATGAGCTATCAAACCCTTGCATCATAACCAGTGGTGGGTTGCCCCCGGGTTGGACGAGCCAGTAGTAAAACCATCTGGAGACCCTGCCCACTGCCCCGGATGTCATCATCAGCAATCTGCACATGCGCAGAAGCTTCTGCGCATGCACAGAAGCAAGGCACGTGCGCAAGTAAGTAAGTACGTGTTCATGATCCCGTTGCGAACCGGTGACAAAGGTAAGTAGAACCCACCCTTGAATCATGCCAATATGGCAACCACTAGAAAAGAAAGTTGAGGTCCTATTCCCATCTGAATAGTCTATTTTATCCAACTTGGAGAGATTTAGCAGTAATGAAGAGATACGTTTTGGAATTCTGTAATAATAATAATAATACAATACAATTATATAACATAATTTAATTATTAATTTTATTTATTTATTAAATTTATATGCCATCCATCTCACTGTCAAATGATTCTGGGCTGCTTAAATTCTTAATAATAAACAGTGTAAAAAACTGCAAAATTTGTGAACTTGTCTTACATCAGCAAAAAAAAAAATATGTGAAACTAAGAGACACTCTTCTTTGTTTATTTACTACCGCCTGCTTCCATTATTTCATTATATAAGCTCTTCATGTAGTTCAGCTCAGTCCCTACTAACCAGATAGACATTTCTGTGCAGGATTCTTGGAACAAGTACCTTAGCTTTCTTCCACAATATCATTTTTATCTCCCAATATAGCCAACAACCCTGCTTTTTCCTTAGCATTTCCCATCCCAGTATTAACCAAAACCTAATGCTGCTTAGCTTTTGAATCCAGATCAACGCCATGGCACAGCGGAGCGCAAGCGATCTTGACAAAAATGCAAAATTATATTAAACAATAAGGATGTCTGTAAATATATTCTGTAATATGTACTCCGATGCTATAGAGTGCAGAATGACCATGATTCTGCCGTCTGACTGGGGAGATAATATTTATATATAATACTTGTATAGCTTTAACAAAGTACGTAACAATGAAGTGACACCAACACTGCAAATAGGGCTTTTAACAGACATTAAACAATCAAGAGGGAAGAAAAGAGAATTTAGAGTGTTGTAAGTGAGTATCTGTTTTCTTTTATGGATAATCCAGATGGTTAATGAGAAGAAGGTAATGAAAAGTTTCAATAGGCAAAATAAGAGGAGGAAATAGTTTTACAAACAGGTATTCTATGCATAATGAGCCAGAAGACAGAAATTATACCCAGGAGAACTGTTTTGATTGGTCTCCAGGGATAAATTTCAAAGGGTGTCTGGCAGGCCTTTACCTTTTCCTGCCATTGGAATGCCAAAGGAATGGGGCATATGGACTGCTTCTCAGAAAATATTCCAGGAACCTTGGCCAATCAATGCCAAGGAAATTTTTGAATTGGAACTCCTTCTTTAAACTTCAGCAATTCATGCCTATGGTTCTCCAGGAACTTTAGCAAATAACTGTCCATCTTCCAGTCAATACTGAATTGGAACTCGGATTTATTCCTCATCCCATCTCCAGATCCAAAGTGTACTATAAATTGTTGATGTGAAAGTGAGAATATAGAAGCCTAAACATGAGGCTGGAACTTGAGAAGTGAATAAGAAACCTAATTAATTCATATATTATTAAAGAATAAACGATGCCCTTGAAGTGATGTCCTGGTGCCTGGAGGCCGTTCGGATCTGGATGAGGAGGAACAGGCTCAGGCTCAACCCATCCAAGACTGAGTGGCTGTGGTTTCCGACGTCCCGATATAGTCAGTTGACACCATCACTGACTATTGGGGGCGAATCATTGGCCCCCACGGAGAGGGCTCGCAACTTGGGTGTCCTCCTGGATTCACGGCTGTCTTTAGAAGAGCACTTGACGGCCGTGACCGGGAGGATTTTTCATCAGGTTCGCCTGATTCGCCAGTTGCGTCCCTTTCTGGATCGGGACTCATTACGCACGGTCACTCATGCCCTTGTCACCTCCCGCCTGGACTATTGCAACGCTCTCTACATGGGGCTCCCCTTGAGGAGCACCCGGAGGCTCCAACTGGCGCAGAGTGCGGCCGCGCGGGTGGTAATGGGAGCGACATGGCGTTCCCATGTAACACCCCTCCTGCACGAGCTGCACTGGCTCCCGGTGGTCTTCCGGGTGCGCTTCAAGGTTTTGGTTACCACCTTTAAAGCGCTCCATGGCTTAGGACCCGGGTACTTGCGGGACCGCCTACTACCACCAATAGCCTCCCACCGGCCGGTATGCTCCCATAGAGAGGGGCTCCTCCGGGTGCCGTCAGCCAAACAATGCCGACTGGCGGCTCCCAGGGGGAGAGCCTTCTCTGTGGGGGCACCTATTATCTGGAACGAGCTCCCCCCAGAGATACGGAGGATCCCGGATCTGCGCACCTTCCGCCGCGCCTTAAAGACCTTACTATTTCACCAGGCCGGCCTGGCCTAATTTCCCCCCTCTTTTATAAAAGATTTTTAAAATTTTAAATATCTTTTAGTATTTTATATATTCAATTTTAAATTGGTTTTAAAAGTTTGGGGTTTTAAATTTGTCGGGGCCAAAATTATTTAATTTGATTTTATTCTATTTTTAAATTTTGTATTGTATGTGTTTTTATTGTTTGGCTGTGCACCGCCCTGAGTCCTTCGGGAGTAGGGCGGTATAGAAATCTAATAAAATAAATAAATAAATAAATAAATAAAGAATATGTGTTACCTATAAAGGAAACAACTGTCTCATGTTACAATTTTATGTAATGTAATTGTCAGGGATGTCTGGGAAGAATTGTCTGGGAAGAACCAGATCCACAGTTTCGGATCTGAGTTTTAAATTCCCACCTTTTTAAAAAAATAAAATAGATATTTAAAGTTTTGGCTTTAGACAAAACTAGTTAACATCTGTTGGCATATAATCTCTGTTGGGAGGTTAAACTGCCAGATCTCAAAATAAATAGGATTAGAAGGAATGTCAAACAAATTGAGATCTTAAACATGAGAAGTATTAATTTCATTTATTGCTTGGTAGACAATGACAAGGAAAACTAAAACCCTGTCAATCTA